TTTAGGGTTTAGGGTATAGGGTTACCGATTGATCTTCGAGGTTTAGGGTTTAGGGTTCAAGATGCAAAACATGGAGCAATCAAGACTGCATGCTTTCGCCCCGAACTCGTGCCTGTCGCTGAAAAGCATGCAATGTAACTCCCTGGGCGCTGGCCCAGCCCCTCGCACTGCCCCCGCAAGGATGCCAACTAAATCATAAGGGTTCGGTCAATTCGGAACACCCTGAAAAAGCCATAACGCCAAACCCTAAACCCCAAAGATCCCTAAAACCCGGAAAACCGTCAACCCCAGTAGGAACCACACCTATGTAAAGGGTGCTAGACCAACAAACCCTAAACCCTAAACCCTAAACCAGCCCAAGAGGCTGTGTACAGAGCTAAGCATAGATCCGACATCAGCATGAGAGCTCGAGGCGGTACTTCGCCCACAGCTCTCGCGTCCTCAGCAGGACAAGCTTGCTTTAGGGTTTAGGGTTTAGGGTTTAGGGTTTCTCCCAAAATCCTAAGGTCCTAAACCCCAAAATACCCTAAAGTTTTCAAGTTTGGGGTTTAGGGTCCATTTCGGGCTGAGGGTTTAGGGTCTAGGTCTTGGGCTGTTGTGTTGGGGGTGGTCTTTCGGTGGAGGTTTGGGGGCTCCAGCGATGGATTCTGGGTTCCGAGGTGTGGTCTGTTCATGTTTGGGCTGGGAGAAAGCTCAAAACCTATTGAACAGAAAACGGCGGGGTCAATTAAACCCTAGGCCCTAAGCCTCCAAGCCCTTAACCTCAAAGAAGGGTAATCATAGGGATCGAGTGCAGCCCAAACCATTGGCCTGCAGCTTTGGTGGAGAGCATAAGAGACTGTATAACAAATAATGAAACCACCATCATCATCATCATCATCCCCAAAATCATCATCATCATCATCATCATCATCATCATCATCATCGCCATCATCACCGTAAGCAACAACAACATCTTCATCATCAGCATCATCATCAGCATCATCATCATCATCATCATCACAAAGACTGGGGTAGAGGGTAAGGGGCTTCTAGGGCTGAAATCACCGAAACTCTAGTTGTTGATGAGAAGGGCTTTTACAAGACCCTAAACCCTAAACCCTTAAACCCTTAAACCCTAAACCCTAGCGAATCTCAGAGGATGCCTCGAAAGGTCTTCGGAGGCGTTCTGGTGCAGTCTCAGATAACGAACGCTGCAGGGCTGTGTCTGACAAAACACTAGCTGTTTAGGGCTTTTGGTTTAGGGTTCAGGGTTTAGGGTTTAGGGCTTTTGGTTTAGGGCTCGGGATTGATAGTTTAGGGTTAGGGTTTAGGGTTAGGGCGGGCTTAAGGTTCAGGTTGCAGGGTTTCGGGGCCAAGAGCGGCAGATGGAGTGTTGCTGTAAACAACCAACGGCGCTCGGTACTGAGACGTCCATGGGAAGCCCTGAAACCGCAGAACACCCATGTCGGTTCCTAGAAACCCGTAGCCAGCCGGACCCCGATTTTTAAGACGCCCCCCCCTAAACCCTAAACCCTAAACCCTAAACCCTAAACCCGATCGATCCTCGCAAGCGCCCTAGATCTTCCAATGTCCCTCCAAAGGAATTTTTAACGACATCTCAGATTCGATGTCCACGATCAAGGAGGACGCATCGACCAGCACCTGCAGCTTCTTGGAGCCATGTTGGGTTTAGGGTTTAGGGTTTCTGGCATCTACCCAGAAAGCCCAATACCCGTGAATTAAGGAATATACCTTCACTCATAATATCAAGGCCCTTATAACTTAAGGTATCTTCCTTCTTTAAGGGGTACTGGGCTCTCTGGG